GAAATTTGATTTTGACATAGCTGGGAAACCATTCGTGGAAAATTGTGATTTTTCTTTTACACAGTTGTTATCACAGGAAAGCCTGTATGAATTCACTAGCGTTAGTTAATACCACGAGCATCCAGAATTCAAATGACACTGACAAATGGCAGCTGCCCCACTACGTACCTCTCCGCGCCATTCAAGCACCTTCCATTCTTCTCACTGTTGCGATATTATTTAGCAATGCTCTTGTCGTCGCATCCTACAAGATTAACCGGCGACTGAGAACTCGAACAAACGCATTTCTCGTCAGTTTAGCCGTGTCGGATTTCCTGGTTGGAAGTATATCGATGCCGATGTGGATCTACAACATCATCATAGTAGATAATGGTTCCGTCCCTTTTAAAGCCGTTTACAAAACTTTCGATGTCTTTTCAGCTCTGGCTTCCATTTACCATTTGACCGCTATAAGTATCGAACGTTACATAGCCGTTTCTCGACCGTTTTATTATAAAAGTTTACCGTCCTTGTTTCAACGGGCAATGATAACATCTGCATGGCTTGTCGCCGGCCTACTGGCTTCTCTCTCGTCTTTTACCATGCCATCTGTTTTTAAAATCCCTTGGAACAGTCGAGTATATGCCACTGTTATGTTTATCATCGGTTTCGCAATTCCGGCAGCCATTATGTTTTTTATGTACGCGGGCGTTTTTTCAGTAGCGCGCTCTCTTCTTCAACGTAACCCGCACCACTCCCCAGGGGGTCGACAAAGCACAGGTAGCCCGATGAGCCAATACTATCAAGGGGAGAGAAAAGTGGCTATTACCGTGGCATTCATCACAGGTTTGTTCATCGCTAACTGGGTGCCATTTTTTACTGTATCTATCATGGCTGCCTATTGCTTTCACTGTCTTCCTTCGTCGCAGAAAACATTCACATGGCTTGTTGCTATTGTTAAGGGTGTGCACTACCTGAACAGCGGTGTGAACCCACTAGTGTATGCTCAGCGGGACAGTGAAATGAGAAGAACATTTCTCACTCTGTTAGGACTTAAGCGCGTCAATCGTCGTTTGCGCGCCAAAAAAGAAAAGCCATGGGGAATTAAACAACTGACTGGACGCACGATACAGTGTTATCATTTAGGTAGTTCTAGTGGTGTGCAATATCATGTGAGTGGTTCAGTTAATGAAATGTTTACTAGAATTCCTGAAAACCATGTGGGTCACTCTAGACCGATGATTTCTGAGTAAGCTGCACCCCAGGTCCAGAAGTCCTGTCCAAGCTATTCCATTATTTTCCTAGGTAAGACAGTTTAATTTTACCGTGCCCGCCAAGCCCAAGAGTATAAATGGGTATTCGCAGGCTGCTCACTTGGCGAGAACTCAAGAAGGTCAGCCCTCAGTGGAAAAGCATGCCGTTAGTTTAATTGATGAGCTCCGATAGCATGGATTTGGCTTGTTTACCAATTGCAGTTAGTTTCATCTTACTGTTTGATAAGTAACA